GGCTATTAGCTAAAGAAATTTTTCGATTAAATAGCCAAATAGCCAGTTATGAATTTTTTGAAGAATTTTTAATTTAATATCTTCAATATCTAAATTTATATTAAAATTCATAATTAAATTCTACGTATAACGAGGAATACAATACCAAAGTCGGAATGCTAGGACTACAAATAGGCTATTAGCTAAAGAAATTTTTCGATTAAATAGCCAAATAGCCAGTTATGAATTTTTTGAAGAATTTTTAATTTAATATCTTCAATATCTAAATTTATATTAAAATTCATAATTAAATTCTACGTATAACGAGGAATACAATACCAAAGTCGGAATCAAAATCAGACGGCTAAACCTTTTTCTTGTTCTTTCTTCTTCTTTGCCTTCTTCCCGTTCTCCTTCTCCTTCATTCGGAGGCAAGGTTGTATTTACATTTATAATTATATTATTATTATTATTATTATATTTTATAATTATATATTATATTATTATTATTAACGTTATTATTATTATATATACTTATATTTATATATTATTAATATCATCATTATCATCACCTTATTATTATTATTATATTATTATTATATATTATATTTTATATTTATCTTCATCGATATTTATCCGTTTAATAATCTTTTCAATCATAATTAATATATAAAATATGAATAAAATTTATTTCAGAATATTAATTTCTTGATCCCGAAATATTATAAAAATATTTATTTGCTATAATAATATTATTTTATACATTCTAAAATCGGGGCATTCCACAACGGTTAGCTTAATGACAGTTTTGATCGGAGCTGTAGCACTTGGAATTGTGCTATCCATGAACGACGACCCTGCGAAGTTTGTCTGAAAGCGCGAATGGGACATTCTTGGAGGTGAAGGCGCCGAGTTAAGTGTGACTCTCGACGGGGCTTGATCTAGCATATTATGTATCAAGTTTTGTTGCTCGTGCAATATTATCTGCATGGTTGTTGTTTGTTATTTGTTCATTTATTGAACATGATTTAACCGTTCATATAGTATTTGGGAGACGACCCCTATAGTGAGGATTGATGGTGGTGGCGTTGTCGTGGTGTCCACAATGGTTGTGCTAAGGCTTTTAGATTGAAAACCTGTGATAATGTTCTTTGCAACGACTCGACCAAGTCGAAGTTGTATGAAATTTTCGATAGACGTAGGATCAGCAATTTTGCTTCGCACTCCCACTGTGGTCGTCAATTTGTTGATAGTAAAACTTCCACAAGAAAAGTAAAATTCAAAAATATATTTCGAATTTAAGTAGAGTGTGTTTGAAATCACGGATCCCTAGACAGACAATACATAATATTGCTAAAGAAAAGAAAAAAGAAAGCTAAAAAGGATATCTAGAAAACTAAAAATGATGATCCCCAATGAGAATTTCTCTGAGATTGATGTCGATTGAAGATGTCTGCTCTCTCTCGCTAAGGCTGCTTATATACGTATCAAAACTAAACCGTCCAAAACCACTTTCATGGCGGTTACCTTTGAACCGGTCAAAAAATCACTTCCACGTCAGTTATCTTTGAACCGTCAAAAACTGCTTCCATGTTGGTTACTTTTAAACCGCCCAAAAAAGTAAGGGCAAAAATGTCATTACACTACTTTCAACTACCCACTATAATTAATATACTACTCCCTCCGTCCCAATACAATAGTCATGTTTACCATTTTTGTCCGTCCCAAAACAATAATCTTATTTTCATAAATAATCATATCACCATAAAACTACCCCTACTTTTTCATTTTTATTACACAATTGCCACAACTTTTTACACTAATACACTCACACGGCCAAACAAGTCTTTTATCCATATTTTTTACCCACTATCAATATAATATCAATATTCCTTAAATACCATGTCGGACACAATAAGCCCTTATTTCTGGGACGGAGGGAGTATTATTTTTTAAACACCTCGTAAAAAATAAATGTATACTTTGTATGAAAGTATTATTTTTTAAACACCTCATCAAAAATAAATGTATACTTTATACGTGGACGGAGGAGTATTATTTTATAGTATATTCCTAATCATAGTTATAGAAATAAGTAATACTATTATTCTAATATTTAAAAATTAATAAAAAAACTGTTTGGTGTGTGTATTTTGTATTTGCAGAGTGATATTATTTTTATATTAAATATGTAAAATTATATTGATAATATAAATTATATTAATATTTTATATTAAATTATTAATTTTTTTACTGAATAAAATAAATATATTATATGGTAGTATTAATTTGTATATGCATTGTATTTTTATTTATAATATTTATAGAAGATTTGTTCAAAAAAAACACAAAGAGAAAATTTATTATACTATATTAATAAAATGCAACATTATTTATATTATATTCTCTTAAAATAATAAAACCTAACCTGAAAATTATTTTTGTATCAACGATTCTTTTTAAAAAAAATATTACTATATAATATTATAATATAAAAATAAAAATTAATCTGAAAAATACTATTATACTATTCTATTATTATACTTGAAATTATCTATTACTTTAAAAAAAAAAAAAAAAATTTCAAAAACATCACAACAATCAATATATTTTACTTTAACTAATTAACAACCAATCAACACATCATCACTAGAAAAGTCAATTTATAACCAAACACCATTTCAAACATCTCAATTCAAAAAAATTCAAATCCAACTAAAATACCTGACTCAACTCAAATTCTAACTTACAACCAAACAAACCCTTAGTTTTTCATATGTTTTCATTGGATAGAAATCAACCAATAATTTCAAGAAGAACGGCGAACCAAAAACATCTTCAGGCATCGGTCGGCAGTGGTAGCTCTAGGCAGCAAGATCAAACTCCTTTTTCGTGCTTGTTGTTTTCTCCGGGCATCAATTCCGACGGACAGACAACTTAAAAAATCAAGCCATTGACGTTTCTAACAAATAAATAATACAACAATTAAAGTTTACCTTGTTAAAAGTATGTAATTGAATGTCTCGATTGAGCACCTTGTGTCCCTGCCAAAGTTTGACTCAAGATCAATCGTCAAGTCACCGGATTGGATCGCCGAAATATGCCACCCTGAAATGCGAAATGCAAGACATTTATCTTTCACGTGAAATAAACAAACTTGATTGGAATCAATTGTAAGAGAGTTAAGGGTGTAAAAAAAAAAAAAAAAAATAGGGTTGAAATCATGGTAAAAATGAAATTAGCAAGGAGTAGGAAGTTGATGCCAAACATTTTCGTAAAGTGGGGAGTACAGTGATCTCCATTTATGTGAATGGATTGAATTTAAAAATTAAATATGACTTGGATATTTATATCCAATTGTCCGTTAAAAGTAATGGATATTGTTATAATAAAAATTGAAAAAATAATCAGAAAAATAACAATAAGGAAGGTAACGAAAACAAATACTCTTAGGCGGAAGGTTCAAATTGCAAAGCCGAACACGTGTCACCCAATATTAAAGCTCGCAAAAATAAATATGATTTAAAATTTTGAATTCAGCATTTAAAAAAAAAAAAAAAAAGAAGATTATAATTGCATTAGAAAAAAATAATAAATTAAAAAAAAAAATCGAACTATGTATAGTCTGGTATAAATCGGGATCTACCTAACTTGAATCAATTTTTAAATTGAAAACTATAAATATATTAATAAAGAATTTATATTAAAGATAAAAATATAGTATAATAACTTAGTTCTGAATTTATACTGAAATAAAATATAATTAAATATTTTCTATATAAAAAATATTAACATAATGTTTAAATAGACTGAAAATATATTACAAAGAGATTGGAGAAAATAAAAGGTAAAGATCAAAATCTAAATTCAAATTCCAATTGGCCAAGTGAATTCTAGTTCAACAAGAAAAAGTAGCAATAATCCACTTTAATAAAAAAATATTTAGAGTGTGTTCTTTTATCTAATTTTTTCATATTTTTACTATTTATTAAATATTTTTATTTTAAAAATATTAAATTAAACCTCTAATTTTTTTAAAAAATTATACTAAAAATTAATTTTATATTCCAAATATTATAACAACACATAATTTATATAACGTAAAAGAACTATTTTAATTCAAAAATTTCACTGTTTAAATTTTAATAAAAAAATTTAAACTCCAAACAAACACACCCTTAAATAATATAATTTTCTATATTTATAAAAATACTTATAATTTTTTATTGTTAAAAATAATACTCCTTTCATATCATAATAAATTATACAATTTCCATTTTACTCTGACACAAAACAAATGATATATTTATATATTTATAAATACATTTAATTAATTTTATAATATATAACATCGTATAAATAAATGATATATTGTACTAAATATTTTGATCTATACCGCATACGATATCGAAAAATTCGATATGATATAAATATATATTGCTACTGTACCGATACATTCGATATAGTAAAATTTTCGGTAAAATTTTAAAATAATTATTTATTTATTTATTTGTATTATATAATATTTTATTTTTTATGATATTCATATTTTATATATTTGATTAAGAACATATTTTTTTGTCCGTTAATTATAGTTTTATTCATTAATTTTGTATTATTATTATACTTTAAAAAATTAAGAATCAATATTGAACTATTACATTTTATTTCCTACTTGTTTATTATCAATATTAGTATTTTTATTATATTTTTTCCATTCTCTTTATTTATTAACTAAAATTGTTAAATAGCTTCAATTATTTTTATTTTTTTTCATTTTTTAACAAAATTTTTATGTTTTTTAATTGAAAATGATTTTAAATCAAGCCATTTAATTAATAATAATAAGAGTAGGATGGATCCGTAAAGAGAGAGCTTGAAGATCATGAAATTATAAATTGAAATTTGAATGTAGTATAATTTACAGGCATCCGTGGAACGGTGCGGCCCACGTTAAAAAAGTTAATAATAAAAATAATGATGGGTTGTAGGACGAAAACCTAGACCAAATTACCAGTTCAAAGACAAACCCGGGAAGCGAGATGAGGTGGTGATTTATATTTATAGGGCGTCCCTGGACTCAACCCAAATACGCACCCTGCCCAGGCCAATCTTGAATTGCCTGCTCTCCCTCTAGTCTACCCGTCGTCGTCTGGATATATCTTGTGAGGGTTGGTTGGAATCCTAGTGACATAGATCGTAGACGGAAGCACGACGGGCTGCAGAACTATAAACACCTGGGAGGCGCATTTCGGTTGGTTGGTTGCAGCAGATGATTCAAAAGTCGCCGACGCAGATGGCCCAGACCCAACACAGCCACCAGGCATGCTGTCTCTCTCCCTTTCGTGTCTCCTATTTCTATTAGCCCTATCACCCATTTTTCCATCGTCTCTTCGGTTTTGTGTTTTCTCATTTCACTCCTGCATTTCCACGCACACACATATCTGCTATCTACCATTATATACGACCTCTGATCCATTTCATGACCCTCTTCCTTATAAAATCTGTACTGACCGTGGAAGCGAAGCTGAATCGCAGAAAAAGAGCTATTGTGTCATGGAAGATATCCATGGAGCTTTGATTGCGCCCAAGCAGGAGCTCCAGCTCCAACTTCGACTCCAGCTTCAACCCCATTCCCTTTCCCATAGCAAGCCCTCAACTTCCCAACACTTGCTCCGTGTTCCCGATTTTGGACGGGCATTTCAGGTCTATCACTCTTCTCTTTTCTTTCATATGTCGCGGGTGCTCGCATTTTAATCTATTTTTGGTTTGTCTTCTTTCTCTATATCCTCCTTGAAGTTCTAGTGTTTTTTTCGTGCTTGGTCACGTGTCAAGCAAGCCACGAGTTCAAGACCTAGATGTTGTTAAGAAGTTCTTACTTGTGCGTTTTGACAGAATTCTCAACGAGAAGCATTTAGGTCATCTGAATAAAGCAAAGTTCTTTGATTTCCTTCAGGACTTGGTGAAGAGCAGAGAAGTTGGTGAGTTCCTTAGTGGGGCTTTAGCCGGGGCTATGACCAAAGCCATTCTTGCACCTCTTGAGACCATCAGGTTTTGTTGCCTTCTGCTTGTTATGCATACTTAAGAAAATTAATTGATCACTTACAAATGCTGTTAATCAAACCACATTACTTAGATGGCTGACATATTATGCGCGCCTTCTCAATCTTCTGAGGAACAATGATAGCACGATCTGGTTGTTTTTCCTCTTTGTTTTGGTGTTTTGTGTCTCCTTTTATATTTATTTATTTTTTTGTTGTTGTCTTGGGGTGAGCATTCTTGGCCTCCATAACAGAAAAAGGATCTAAATGTGCTCTAGTTGGTTGCATGATTAATTGATAAGGACATAGAGTTGTAGAATCTTAAGTGATGTAACCTTAAACCGGAGAATATCTGACATGTGGCGTAGTTTAATATGAAGAGTAGTGAAGATGACTTGTTCAACTCTAGATATGTTTGATTGAATTCTGGCAAGGAGCATATTACTGAGGTTGGAGAATATGTAGCCAATATTTATAATACGTTAATGTTCTAGTGTGATATTGGAGATTAGTGCTTGTTGATTGTTGTGTGGGAAACCTTAAACACATTAGCTGTAAGCACTCATTCTGTAATCATCTACTTATATGTTTCAGGACAAGATAGTTATCTATAATTATAGTCAAGTTCATTTGTTATGAAGCTGGAAAAAAGAAATATATCTTGGTTGTAGCCAATAATCATCTGCCAAGTTATTTGTGCTACAAAATTTGCACATAGCTGGACTTTGTCTTGCACTCTTAAAATTTCGGTGCTGAACTAATAAACATGTGGACATGAAATCCTGATTTTATGCTTACCTGCTCTGCTATAACCTTCAGTTTTTGCAGTTTGAGTTGCTGTGTGAAGGCCCTTTTATAGGGACACTTTTATTTTTATTTGAAAGAAAAACTCTGGCACATGTTGGAAAGGCCTTGAAGTATGAGCTGTCTTTCTTCTCCTGTTTTGGATTGCTATGATTTACCATGTTGTAGAGTTAGAACAAGTATACCAGAACTGCTATCTCTTAGCCCAGTAAAGATTCCGTGTAAAGCTCAACCATCTTTCTTATGCGATCTTGAATCATGCAGGACACGGATGGTGGTTGGAGTAGGTTCTAAAAACATATCTGGTAGTTTTCTTCAGATTATTGAACAACAAGGCTGGCAAGGACTTTGGGCTGGAAACACAATAAACATGATTCGTATAGTTCCCACACAGGCAATTGAACTTGGAACGTTTGAATATGTAAAGCGAGTAATGTCATCTGCTCAAGAGAAATGGAATAAAACTGGTCCAGAATTGCAAATTGGAAATCTCAATTTCAACTTTTCTCTATCATGGGTGTCTCCGGTTGCTGTGGCTGGCGCTGCAGCTGGAATTGTTAGCACCCTTGCATGCCATCCTCTCGAGGTTTTAAAGGTATACCATACCACATGTGGACTTGTACATTTAGGATGTGTTTGATTCAAGGATTTTGGGAAGATATCCACTATCCATACAAAAATTTTCCTCCAAAAAATATTAAAGCAAACACTTATTTTTTATTTTTTATATTATACTACTAAAAATCAATTTTACATTCAAAACATGCATCAATATTAATTTATATCAGCTCATACGCATACAACTATTTTAATTATGCAGGACAGGTTGACTGTGAGTCCTGATATGTATCCTAATTTAAGTACTGCAGTACGCCATATTTATAAGGATGGTGGAATTGGTGCTCTGTACTCTGGGCTTTTACCTACATTGGTTGGCATGCTGCCTTACAGCACGTGCTATTATTTTATGTACGAGACAATGAAGAAATCTTACTGCCTCGCAAAAAGGAAGGAATCTTTGACTCGTGCAGAGATGCTCTTAGTTGGGGCTCTTTCAGGTAAATTTAGTTTTAAGTAATTGCCAATATAATAATCATCTCATGTTTTAGCATTGCCCTTCACTTCACCTGCCTTGTATGATGCTATTAATTACTACTCCATATACATATATATTTTTATTTCTTTTAGGATTCACAGCTAGCACAATTAGTTATCCCTTAGAGGTTGCAAGAAAGCGGCTGATGGTCGGCACTCTACAGGGCAAATGTCCACCCCACATGGCCGCCGCTCTCTCAGAAGTAGTGAGAGAGGAGGGGTTTTTGGGTCTTTATAGAGGCTGGGCTGCCAGCTGTTTGAAAGTTATGCCCTCCTCTGGAATCACATGGATGTTCTACGAAGCCTGGAAAGATATATTGCTTCCCAAAGGACAATGAACTTGGTCCTACATTTTGTAGACTGCAAGCAACTGACTTGAAGAAGAAAAAAAAGAGAGAGAGAGAGAGAGAGAGGGGGGGGGAGGGAGAGAAACCGAATGCTCAACGTGTTCCCTCTAAAGTTTTATTCAAGGTAAGGATGGCGAGAAAGAAATTAAAGTGTAAGGTTCGTCCCCAAAAGAGAATGCTTTGATACAATGGGTTCAGGATCTTGGTTCTAATCTAATCGGCAAGATGCTGTTATGATGCGTGCCAACAGAATTTAAGATGTTTCTTTTTTCCTTTTTCTTATGATGGCGTGTTATGGCTGTTAGTTCCTAGAATTTAAGAGGTCCTCTTTAACCGTACCAACATAAATAGTTGGCAGCTTATGAATAGCTGCATGCCTAAGTTTGGCTTCGTTGCTAATTAGCAATTAAAAACACCCCACACAAGACAGACAAGCCCGGACATCGTTACCCTTTCTTGTCCTGTCATGTAATGTAAGAGCACGCACACAATGGCCATTTACAAAAAAGCTGTGAAAGTGGCTTATTTTATCAAAAAAAATTGATTCTGTCTTGGAGCTTGTTTGTTTGGGATGATTCTTCTGAAAATGCTGCCGTGCCGACCATGATGAGAATGATGAAGAAGAAGAGGAAGACGGAGAGGAAGAGGAAGGATTGCACCATGAGGGTGATTCCGACTAGATTCGATCCGGTTTTATCTGTTATTTTTTGTTTTATCTGTTTGTTCATAAGAGACAAAACAACTTCGTCTGCACCGGGCAATGTCGGGGTTGCATGGAGATTTTTGCATCTCAATTTGTACCATTGTGTAAATTGTCTTTTGCTTCTGACAAAAAGAACCTTAAAACACGTCCATAAACTAGTCATTGTTTATGCTCTAATGAAGTTAAGTTACAGTTCCCAATGGTAACGCATACTACTGTTTTCATTTTGGTGCTCCCAATTTAAAAATGCACAAAACACTCTATATTTTATTTATTGTTTGAAATTCGTAAAGTTTGCATGAAATATCTTCCTTATCCAAAAATTGATATTTTGTTATAAATAAATACCTAAATTACACAAATTTTATACAAATAAAAAATATAAAATATTTTAAACTTTTTTTTGAAAAAAATAGATAAATAAATAATTGATCAATAATTTATTTTATAGTTTTTATAAAAATCGGATAACAATTTGTCTCAAAAAATTATAAAATGAAAAACTAAACAATTATTTATTTACTTATTTTATTCAAAAAAAAATTATTTAAAATATTTTCCATTTTTCTCTTTATAAAAACTTACGTAATTTAAGATATTTTGTGCAAACTTTACATTTTGCGCAATTTGTACATTTTGATTAAAACACAATAGAGTATTATATAATTTACCCCAATTTAAACAACAAAAGTTACATACATATAAGCCGATGGTTCAGCATATTAAATATTTCCTACTCAATACATAGTAATTTTACGCTTGCTTCCATCTTGACCGATATCTGGATCGAAGATTCATTCATTTTCATTACATCATTAGTTTATATGCAGTCTTGTAGGTACTTACTTTGGTTGAGAGAGATAGAGAGCACTTCAACCTAATGCTCCACTCTCACATCTTCTTGCCAATGCTTCGCCGGAGCAAAACCAAAACATCACCCACATCTAGAAAACGAACAACCTGCTAGCATCTTGCAGTTCAATTAATAAGTTTCTTACTATCTGCCCATCATCTTTCACCGGAAAAGAAAAAAACGACTAGCAAGGAAAGAGGATGGGGGAGGGGTCTCTTTGCAACTTGCCCTCCGGCAAGCCCAATTTCTTCATTTTTTCTTCACACCAGAACAATTGCTCTTTGCTAATTCTCGGCATCTGCACGGCCCTCCGCACCACCTTTACATCAACCAGTGCAAGCAACACCTCTGCACCCTGTCTTGTGCTAGGCCAACTTCTCTTTTTATTACAACTCTTGCTTCTATTCCACAGCTCCTTCAGTTTCCCCGCTTTCTGCAGTTTCACCACAGTAATACAAATAAAATAACATCTATAACCTCATCGGTCAACAGGGGTTTAGTGTTCAAAGGCCACACACAAAAATCTTTAAAAGAGTTAAATATGAGTTGGCAATGCAAAGTATAAAGAATGAGTATCAAGACTTAACTCACCCTCTCAAGAGACAGCTGAACTGGGGTACCCAACTGGTTCTGATTTCCAAATACATGACGTGCAACTCCTGATTTTGTCTTGTCCGTCTTAACAAATTGATGGAAACTTAAGATGGAGCTTTCAATTATTCTAATTAAATCCATGGCAGCAACCAAAAGGTTCGGAGCCTCTTCTCCACCTGTGCTTTTCTCTTCAGATGCTAAACGATAGAGAGAACTGCTTTAGTAAGATTTAAAACGCACATAATCATCTAAGGTGCATAAATGGCACACAAATTCAAATGTAAAGGCACAACAAATTAAGCTCATACGAGAAAATAAGGCACACACCATATATAATAGATTTTCTTTCATACCTTGAATCTTTGGAACCTGGAGCAATTTTGGCCATGATTTTCTTGCCCGAGCATAGATTTGTGGCCTTGGGCCTGGCTCAAAAGGTTCATTTTCAATGAATCTCTGCAATAAGACCTGAAATTGCTGAAACTGCTGAGCACTATGGTTGTAGGAGGTGGGACTCTCAGCTTGGCAAGAAATCTTCTGACTAAATTGTGTGTATTGGGAGTGTAGAGCCTCCCAAGTCAAGCACACTTGAGCTACATATGCAGTTTCCAGGTCATTATATTTGTCACTCACTTGATAGCACAAGCTTTGGACTTCCTCTCCATCTTCCTCAAATTTTCTCAAGGAAATGCATCGAAAGGGAGAAGCAAGCTTTTTAGATCCAGATCTTGGTGATGGAGAAGAAATAACACCAGAACCTGTTGCACTTTAGAGCTTTAAAGTGCACACATTCAGAACATAATATGTACCATATGCCACTCAGGAACAACACATAAAGACAGGATCAAAGAAAACACTACACACATTTTATTGAATTATAAAACTTCAAACTACCCACACCACTCTTTCATTCGAGATCAGCTTCCTACACGCCACTACTTACGACACTTTCATCATTAAATTTGATTTACCACAAGAATCTTGAGACAATTACAAGCCCGTCATTACAATGGGGGGTGAAATTATTTGAAATAAAGACCAGACCATTAAATGTCCTTCCATCTTTCACACGAGGAGATCATGCAAAGTGGCGTAAGACGAACATTAATGTTGGACATCTTCAAACCATGATCTTGGACATGGAACTAAGAGGGGTCTCATCATCATCGTAAAAAGTTTTAAATTGTCTCCGTTTAGTGGCACTAAAATGGGGATTTCAATTCATATAGCAGAACTTTATGCATGTTTAACTAAAACTGATTCAACTTAAATTTATAAAGTTTCATGTACCGTCCAATTGTACATCTAAACTATTTTATGTACTGATAGAACCATCAATCTACAATTTTAAGTGAACAAAAATAAAAATCAATAAAAGAACGAGAGAAAAAGAAAGAAAGGATCCAAGAAAAAATTTCAACAATCCTCTCATCAATGTATTACTTTTTCTGGATCTTCAAAGAGGAGTATAGAAGGCAAATTATTAAAAATGGCATGATTTAGAAATTCATAATTAAAAGATATACCAGCAAGCACACAACTATTTTCTCCCTTCCTCACTGCAAGACTGCTAGAGTCACCAAGGAAATCCCTAGGGTGTGTTCTTTTGAGGGTTTTACCCAGGGTTTTACTATTCATTAAAATTTTCTCATCTAAAAACATCAAATCGAACACCTATTTTTTATTTATATATTATACTAAAAATCAATTTCACATTCAAAACATCAATCAACAACTATATATATCGCATCATAAAACTATTCCAATTCAAAATTTTCACTATTCAAATCCTAGACACAAAATCCAAACCCTCAAAAGAACACCCCCACATGTTTCGCGACACAAAATGTTCACCTAAGAGATGTCTGAGATATAAACACCACATTGCAACTACAAATGTAGTTTATCATATAATTTCACCAAATTGCATTATACACTACATAGATACATCTCTTGATGTTTCACTGAATAATGCTTTCTAGAAAAACATTCAAGCAAAAGGGCGGGAGGTACGTGTTCATGTTCTTTCTACAACAAGCAAGATCATCTGGCAAGTGAAAATATTGGCTATTTTTCTTTATTCTACTCCTGCAAGCATTAACTTTAAAGTAGGCCTAGTTTGTTGATGAAATTTATAAAATATATATATAATAAAATAAATAAAAGGATATATTTCACTGTTTAGATTAAAAGTAGGGAGACTGCAAGGTGTTGAACCCCCAACCAATTCTACATTTGATGCTCGGCTAACACTTGAAAGGGAATCCTATAAATGCTAAGCTCATGTGATAAATTTATCTCACATTCAAGCAGAGTCCAATTTAAGCTTTCATGGTGATCCTACATGGAAGGCTCTCATTCTGTCATAAATGAGTCCAATAAATACAGCCGAGCCTCACTCTTCCCCATTATGATCCCAGAAAAAGTCCCAAGCATTGTTCCGCATACAAATGCATGCTTGGATGCCACTTATTATACATATATCGGCAACATGAATGCATGCAACTTCCAATAATTATCTTCATATAAATAAAATCTTTTCTTTCAAAACTATTTTTTTATCATATAACAGTCAGTCATATTTATTTTTTTTAACCAAAAAGGAAAAAATAATCATGCTTGATACCATGCAAAACCTCACAAGATACACGATAACTAGAATCACATAAGAAAATTTCTTCTCACTGTCCCCAAAGATACATAGCTAAAGCATTGCTTATGTGAAACTATTAATATTTCACACCTACCACTACATTTCTTATTATTTATTGGCAGTCATAGCATCTAAATTTTCTAACATGTCAAATATGACAGAGTTAACCACAATACACCATATTATATATACAAGTGTCTTTGAGTTCTTCAGATCCAACTTAACATTACACCAGCTAAACTCTTTTTTAACTGCTCAAATTACTGGGGGAATAGATTGATATGATCATAAATCCATTCATTCCAATTGGATATTACTAACCATACGGAGACGAATCTACATGTAACCTCACTAGCTCGGTTTGCCTTGTTTATAATGAAGATAGTTTTGTGACAAGTCCAGGAAACAGAAACAAATCACCATGGTAGCCAGTCAAGCAACAAAAAGTGCTACCACATATGAGGCTATCCACATCATCAGGTTCACAGGTTTTGAACTAAAAGGTGCATTTTAATATAGCTTGTGCATTTTAACTTGATAAGTGAGCTGCTACATAATATCCTAATATAGAAATGTGCATTCCTTAAGTGTAATACTATGCACAGAACACAGTTGCAAGAATGAAGAAAAGAACTTAGTGATAGCAGAAATTACCCGCTTCTAGAAGTAGTTGAGCACTCGATTGATCGAAAAACAACATGCGCTCACAATATATTTCATACACAGCATCAAAACCAGACCAAAACTGCCGCCCCTCTGCCTCAACGTCCCTCCATTCATTAGAGCTTGTCCCTCCCTCTTCCTCCTCCTCTTCCTCATCAGCAGGGGTTGTTTCCTCAGGTATCAACACCATGAAACTGTTTCTTCGCAGCTCTTTCAGCCTCCTTTTCACTTCATTTGTGATGAAATCATCATCATCGTCTTCACTTGCAGCATTGGTAGAATCAACATTAATTGATTTGCTCAATACATCAGCACACCCATTTTTGGTCTCCACTGACTGGGGCGTTGGTTGATCTGTCGTGACATTCTTGGCATTGGGTTTGTGAGCATTTGTGAACTGCTTGAAAAAATCCATAGGTGGCGAGTGTTTGTTAAAACACGCTTTAACGCCTTCCTGTGCAAGTTTTCTCCCTGAACAGGAAATTCATCACTTTTATTTATTTTTTATATACTGGAACAGAAGCAATCCTACTAGGGCACATAAAAACTTCAGTTATTGCCATACATATCAAGAACATACACCCCATTTGCTAAAGTGTAAGCATTAAGCACAAGTTTATCATCCCGTAAAGGACAACAAAGGGTCGTGCAAACTATCATTAGATTCACATTTTTGTATTATGGCATCGTCTTCTATCCCGAGCATATGTAGATCAGGAAAAATAATTGTTAGATATGCATATTGGAAGAAGAGGCAAAAATAAATTGAGAATCTGTGGAAGTAGGAACTTTGAAACAGAAGTTTCCATTGACCGGCAATGCTAAAAAGGTCGGGACTTTCTTTGGTGATTTGAAAAAAAAAGGACAACTTTTTATTTTTTTTGAACGGAAAAGAGGAGAACAACTTGTTAACTCGAAAATGGATATATAATGAAAAAGAAACATCATTCCGTTTCCACGCATCTAACATCATCGGCCCACCTCATCGTCTCAGAGCTCCATAACAAAAAAAAAAAAAAATCACTCACACCCTTTTTTTTCCTCCCTTTTAACTATGAAAATGGAGAAAAGGGAAACGTAAAGACAACTTACAAAAATAGATTGCTGCAATGCAATGGGAGACGGCTCCAGCTTGCAACAAGAGCACCGCTAAACCCTAGGGAAAGGGAGTGAGTGAGTGGTGAGTGGGAGGATTCGCACGAAGAGGGGCTGGGACTTGGGGGATGTGCTCTAACGGAGATTGCAATAAATGCAAATTTTTATTATTGGTATTCCCTGTAAAAAAGCATAAAATTGAAAATAAAATTTAGTGATGTACCACGCCACAGGAGTGCAGCGGCGGGAATCAGTAATAGGAAGGAGCATAGACGAGCGAAGCAGTGATAGACAATATTGTCGTAAAAGAATCATGTGAAAAGAGGAAGTTTGACCCTCCTCGTATATAATAGTACATCCTTCTGGCTACAAGGATTTATTTATTTGTTAATCTTTTAAATATTAATTATTATAAAACAAAAAAAAATAGTAAAAAATAAAAAAATTATTTCCTATTATAATGATATTATAAAAAAAAAATTATACAAATATTGTTACACAAGATCAATATGTCATATATACACAATAAAACCATTAATTAAACCAAAGAACTTAAAGAATCTTTTATTAGACGAAAGCAAATGTGACTCAGGTTACCCAATCTAATATCGATCCTAAAATCCACTGTAACGCACAATATCAACCCAAACACAACTGACATCCACGGAAACGCAACAAACATGCGAACCAAACCACGATCTAACGAAAACACAAGCGATTTTAAGCCTAATCCTTCCCAACAGACAATAAAATCAATACACTGTAAAGGAACACTCGAAATCGTAAATCGAACCGAGGAACAGCACAGGCTGTTTATCGAAGAGCTCAGTCGAACCAGTCGAATCGCCGGACAGATCACCAGAGAAAACCAAGGAAGATCGTTGAAGTTGCCGTCGTCGATTAGGGCTTCTAGAGAGAAGATTAGAGAATCGGGGAGAGAGAATGTGAGAGTGAGTATATCTGTGTGTATCTGTATCAGACCGGTCCCCCCTCCCCTCTGCCCCTTTATATATCAGAGACAGAACCGGACCGGGTTCGGTTCTTGCTGTGGACCGCCGGTTTCACAGTAGAACCGGATCTGGTTCGGGTCACTGGATCCGGGTTTCGGGTTGTGCGGGTTTGTGCATTACCGGCCTCACTTTGTCATTGGCCAAAAATAACTCCACAATCTCCACCTTTTTGGGCATGGAGAAAGTGGCACATCATGGGTGTCATCACGGTCCGAGCATTGATCGTTTTCAATCTTTTAACTTACGGACTTACCTATCAAGATTAGAATTCTCAAAACAAAAAAAAAATTCATTCCAGCACCCCCAAAAAAACATAAACAGAAACAGTGCTGAAAAAAGAAAACAGAACCAAAAAAATTTAAATTACAGCTTGAAAAACCAAATTCTAATCAAAAGTATCAATATACAACGTTTTCTTACACAAGTTAAATTTTGAAAACGACAAAACTTTAGTCCCCATGTCCACAAGGTTATATTCGGTTGGAATTTTTTCAAGTTTCAAAAGCCCTTTTGACACAATATCGTGTATAAAATGAAACCTAACATCCATAGTACCAACCAAATATCTAAACACACATTTTAATGCATTCCAATGTTCTACACCCGGATTAGCCATATAGCGACTCAAGCAACTAATGACATATGCTAAATCGGGTCTAGTACACACCATTAGGTACATGATAGAGCCTATGGCATTAGAGTTAGGAACATTCTTCATGTAAATCACATCACTTTCAGATTTTGGACATTGTTCTTTAGTTAAAATGAAATTAGATGCTAAAGGGATTGTTGAGCATTTTGCATCACACATTGAAAACTTTTTCAGAATTTTCTTAATATAAGAAGATTGGTTAAGAAACAGCATATTCTCTCTTCTATTCCTCACTATATTCATGCCAAATATTACTTTTGCATCCCCTAAATGTTTTATATCAAATTTCTTACTTAAACAATTTTTCACATGATTTATTGACTCCAAACAAGGACCCATCAACAACATATTATCAACATACAGCAGTAAGAATATAGGATGTTTACATGCTATCTTAAAATATAAGCAATGGTCAAAGTTACTTCTAATGAATTCCATAGATCTCATGCATTCATCAAATTTTAAGTTCCATTGCCTAGGAGACTGTTTTAATTCATAGAGTGATTACTTTAAAAGACAAACATGATTTGTTTTATTTTTATCAAGATAACCTTCCGGTTGTTTCATGTATATCTTCTCAACTAAATCACCATGTAAAAATGCTGTTTTTACATCTAATTGTATCAATTCCCAATCAAAATAAGCAACCAAAGTAAGCATGCATCTTATAGTGGAATATTTAACAACCGGCGCAAATATCTTATTGTAATCTATACCTGTTTTTTTAGTATATCCCTTAGCAACTAATCTAACTTTAAATCTAACTCCATTTTCATCTTGTTTGACTTTATACAACCATTTACATTCAATTACAGAATAGTTAGGCAATCTTTGCACCAAATTCCAAGTATTATTATCATTTAGAGACTTCATCTCTTCATTCATAGCCTTAACTCATTCATTTCTATGTTTTGAATTTGTTGCCTCATAGTATGACTTTGGTTCATTCCCATCTAATGACTCAAACACATTATGAACAAATGAAGTAACATCAAAGTCATTTAATCTAGATGGAAGCCTAATGTTCCGCCTACTTCTATCCCTCATTAATTGATAATTCTCAAGATTATAAGGTTCAACATCAGCAAGATCAGAAACAGAAACTTCACTTAAATTTCCAGGACTGCTGCCTGGTCCAGATTCAGCAACTTCTGTGCTGTAATCTGGATCAGCACTGGCTGTATCAAAAACAGCCTCATTTGGAGCAAAATTCTCACTTAATTCAGCCTCTTCTTCGGCTGGATTAAAATGAATTTGCTCCACCTCACTTGGAGTATTATTTGAGTTACTTATTGTTGAATTTTCATCAATTTTGGACTGATTTTCTTTCAAACAGGGCATTTCAGTTTCATTAAATGCTACATCTCGACTAATAAATGTTTTAAAACCAGACTTTGAATTTAACCACAACCTAGATCCCTTTACTCCTTCGGGATATCCTAAAAAGACACATTTCTCAGCCCTAGGCTCAAGTTTATCACTTAAAACACATGCAAACGCTGAACAGCCAAAGACTCTTAGATTTGACAAATCTATATGTCTACCACTCCAAATAGACTCGGGACAAGCACCTTTTAAAGGTACTGAGGGAGATCTATTTATTAGGTAGGTGGTTGTTTTAACAGCCTCGCCCCAAAAACTCTTGGATAAACCCGAAGAAGCTAATAAGCTTCGAACTCTTTCCAATAAAGTTTGGTTCATCCTTTCAGCAACCCCATTTTGTTGGGGGTTGTAAGGGGCTGTTTTATGCCTTCTTATTCCATTTTCAATACAAAAATTATCAAACCATGTATTGCAAAATTCCAAACCATTATCAGTCCTTAAGCACTTAATCCTCTTTCCTGTTTGATTTTCAATTTCAATTTTTCAGTTTTTAAAAGTCTCAAATACATCAGATTTCTGTTTCAGCAAAAAAACCCAAACCTTTCTTGAAAAATCATCAATTATAGACAAGAAATATCTTCTCCCTCCATGTGTGGGTTCACTTGAAGGACCCCACACATCTTAGTGAAGATATTCCAAGCAATCTCTTGAAAAAATTTTGTTTTCAGTTGGTTTTTTAGGAAATGAAACTTTATGGTGTTTTCCATAAATGCAATTTTCACAAAATGGTAAAGCTGAAAGTTTTTCAAGACCAAAATATCCATATTTTTGTAAAATCTCTAACCCTCTATTACTCAAAAGACCCAATCTTCTATGCCACAACACAATGTTATCCTTTACAACATTAACACACAATTCAGATTTAATTTCAGGCACAGCAGTCACCACATAGAGGTTATTCCTCAAAACAGCCTTGAAAATAACTAAAGAACCCTTTGTAATTTTCATAAAATTCATTCCCCATTTCCCCTCTAATCCTAGAGAAGACAAACCAGCACATGAAAGCAAATTGTTTGACAAATTTGGAACATGTCTCACATTGCAAAGTTTTAACACATTTCCCGAACCAAATCTTAACAAAACAGTCCCTATTCCCATGACTCTACAAACCCTATTATCAACCATTGTAACATTGCAATTTGAAAGAGTTTTGTAATCACAAAAAAAAAAAATTCCTTAAAAGGAGTCATATGATAGGTACAAGCCGAGTCTAATAACCACTCATTTTTGTTAAAATCTGTTATATTTGAACAATCAGTTGTTACAGCAAACACTTCACCTACACATTCATCATGTAATATCAAGTTTGCTTGCTCATTCAAAGTAGCATTCATAGGGGTTGTTCCTATGTTCAAATTGTTATTATTGTTTGCATTGTTTCTACCTTTCTTAGGGCAGTTCCTAATGAAATGTGAGGGATCCTCACAATTAAAGCACCTTCTAATGAACTTAGAGGGTGTTTGTGACCAATTTCTTGACTTACTTCTAGGTTTCTTCTTATATTGACTATTGTAGGAGCTGTTTCCATGTTTATTAGTATTAAAAGAAGAAACATTCTTGTTAGGCCTAAAAGGAGATCTACCCCTAACATGCATGATTTCACCATGTGATTGTTTGTTAGATTTATTAAGTTGCAAGTCTACTTTCTTACTTTTTAGACCATTTATAACTACATCAAGTGTAATTACATCCCTACCATATTTTATTGCTGATTTTACATCTGAATATGAAGTAGGAATGACATTTAACAAGACAATAGAGCTGTAATTATCTATTGTTTTATCCCCTGTTAGTTTAATATCTTGAATTAATTTGGTAAAACCATCTAAATTTTCATCTATTGACTTTGAAAGGTCTAATTTGTAACTAAAAAACTTTTCTAAAAGATGTATTCTATTTGGAAGAGAAATTTCAGTATACATTTCATTTAATTTGTCTCATAAGTCCTTGGCTGATTCATAAACCCCTAATTTTCTAATTACAGAATCAGCTAAGTTCAAGATAATACAAGATGATGCAAGTTCATCCAGCTCATTCCTTTTTGCAGTAGGAATATCAGCTGCTGGATCAACTTCCACAGCTTTTATTAATCTTTGGGTTACAAGAACACTTCTCATTTTTTGTTTCCAAATAACAAAATCAGATTTTCCATCAAAAGGTTGTATATTAAAATAGTTTTGACCTACCATTTTACTGATTTTAGAAAATATCTCACTGTATTTTTAAAAAACAGTCCAGATTTTCAC